GAACCAGGGAGGTAGAGGTTGCAGTGAGCCGAGATCCGGCCACTGCACTCCAGCCTGGGCGACAGAGTGAGACTCCGTCTCAAAAAAAAAAAAAAATTAATTAATTTAAAAAGTAAAAAAAAATACCAACTGCCCAGTCCCAGTCCTGTGGGGAGCTCAGCCCTGCATCCACACCAAGGGCATGAGTTCTGCGGTAAACGACGGGGACTAAGGCTGAAAGAGTGGCCTCTGGTCAGTGTTTCTCAGCATTGTTTGTAGCCCACCAGCCTCACAACTGCTGGGGAGGCATCTTCAAAGCGCAAATTCCTGGGGCCAACCTTCCAGGGCAGACTCTGCAGGTCTGTGGTGGTGGGCTCAGGGGAACAGCATTTTAAACAAGCTCCCAGGTGACTCTGAAGGCCCCCAAAAGCCTGGGAACCTGAGAAAAAGGAGCAATGGAGAGTGAAGCAGAAAGAGCCCCAGCTGCCAAGTCATACCAACCTGCGTTCAAGCACTGGCTTTGCCACATGTACATTGTATAACTTTGGGCCAGAGACCTCATCCCTCTGGGCCTTGGTCTGTAAAATGGTAAAGCAACCTCACACACAAGGCTGTGGCGAAGGTAAGATGGGCAAATTCGTGCAGCATCCCAGCATGCGGTTTAGCACTGAGACACGGTGCTGAGGATGACCACGCACTGTGAAGGTGCTACTGCAGGAAGGAGGAGAAGCCGGAGATGCTGAGCACCATCTGTGGAGCGGCCAGCTCCGCGGCTCTCTCCCAAGCAGTGTGTGGGAAAGAAAAGAGACTCCTGGGGAAGAATGGAGGAAGTGACATGGGGGAGGGACAGCGACAGGACAGTGAGCCTGAAAAACACAGGTGAGATGTCAGGAGCTCCAGCACAGACCTCACTCCCAGCGCGATCCTGCCAGACGCTCTGACAGCCCCACAAAATGAGGCCGCCACGCCTGTACGCTCTCCTTGCCCAAACCCTTCCTGAGGTCAGCTGTACCCCAAAAGAGAGCATCTTTGGACCCAGGTAGCAAGGTGGACCCTCCTCCTGCTCCTCACCTGCCCACTCTCAGAACTAAAACTTGAAAGGAGCATGCCAAAAGGACCACAACCAACGCTTTCTCCAGAGACAGCAAGGGTAAACTGAGTCAGGGTCTGCCTGTTCCCTCCCGTCCCCAGGAAGGGCCGGGCTCAGGAGAACAATGGCTCAGACTCAATTTGTCTCAGCTTGATTCGTGTGTGTCCCCTGAACCCAGGCGGTGGGTGGAGGCCAAGACCCCTCAGGCGGGCCCATGCGGTTCACTCCACACCATCCTTGGCAAGGAGGAGGAATTATGATCTGACAAGCAGGACATGCTGCTTCCTGCTCAGCGCTGCCCAGCATGAAAGACTACAGTTCAGGCCTCCCCTCTCTCCAGGGGACAGAGTTCCTCAAAACCAACAGGAAACTCCTACAGGGCAGAGCCAGGAGTTGGCTGACCTTGTCCCATAAACAGGAGAGTGGACACAATCACACACCAGGCACTTCCCACCTCCCTCTGCTGCTGTAAATGCCCAAACAGGCCAAAACTCTCAGCATGTGAGGGGGAGGGGCCGGGGGAGGTCTCGGGGGTGTGCATTCTGCCAGGACCACACACAACTCTATCTACCTCTTGCATGGGAAAGAGGTCCAGGGGATATCATTAAATGAAACAAAAGCAAGCTGTGAATCAGCAACTCAAACATGACCAGATTCATATAAAAATAAGCAAATGGTAGTAACAGATGTGGAAGAGTATATCCCTTCCCATTCACAGCTCTGAAGATGGGAATCAGCGGAGCCTCATTTCCTAGATGACATTAAAGATCCAAACAGGCCTGGCATGGTGGCTCACACCCGTAATCCCAGCACTTTGGGAGGCCGAAGTAGGAGGATCTCTTGAACCCAGAAGTTCGAGACCAGCCTGGGCAATGTAGAGAGGCTCTATCTCCACAATAAATAAATAAAATTAGCTGGGCACGGTGGTGCACACCTGTAGTCCCAGCTACTTAGGAGGCTGAGGCAGGAGGATCACCGGAGCCTTGGAGATCGAGGCTGAATCATGATGGTGCCACTGCACTCCAGCCTGGGCAACAGAGTGAGACCCTGTCCCCCAAAAATAGCCAAACAGTATAAAAACATACAATGAATATGCAACTATGTTGGTAATGACAAAAAAAAAAAAAAATTACTATTTCTTTTAAAATCCAGGCTGGGAGACTCAGGCCTTTCTTCACACAAAAAACTGAGGTGAGACGTAAAGGCAGGGAGGCCTCAGGGCAGAGAACAAAGGGCCCTGGCCCAGGATTCCAGGGTCTGGATTCAAGCCGCATGTCCTTGCCTTCTTTACAGATGAGTCTGGGCAAGTTGCTTCCTCACTCTGATCCTCAGTTTCCACATTTGTAAACTGGAGATAATGACCACTGCCTGAGCATCCTCAAATGGTCAAATGAGATCACCGACCTGAGTATGTTTGGAAAATTATACAGCCGTCTATACATACACCAGCTATGACTCACGACCACCTTCTAGGACAAGCACTCTGCCAACTGCCTGCTCTATGTCAACATAATTTAATCCCCCACATGCTCTCAAGGGACTCTCCTGCCTCTGGGAACTGTTTTCCAAAGCACAGGCCAAGGAATCCCAGTCCCCAAAGATGTCTACACAATCAAATAAGTGTGGGGAAACATGAGTCGCTAGCTCCCTTATCGTGGTCAGCTCAATCCATTCAAGGCTCGGATAAGTCCTACAGCAAGGATAACAAGAAGTCTTTGTTTCCCGGAATGAACACTGTGACCGAAGAAACTGGTGTCTCATGGAACACACTTGGGAAACGTGGTTCACGCTTTTTTGGGAAATGTGGTCATGAGGCTGCATTAGCAAAACCCAGACTGATAAGATCTGGGGTGAGGGAGCAAAAACAGAGGTTTGCAATGAAACAACTTAGCAGTCAATGAATGCAGCAAGCAGACATTACTCAGCGGGAGAAGGAAGAAGACAGTAATTCTGCTGTCTGCCACTCTGCCCTGAACCTACAGTAAGAAGAGCAAAGGACTGTGGGAACAGAGATGCTACCCTTTGTTCCCCAAGCTGGGAAGGGCACTCGACTGGAGCTGGAGCTGGCCGGGAAGGAGAGGGGCCCAGTCCTTACCCCAAGGACGGCTCTGCTATCTGCGCGTCGGCTGTCGGTGCTGAGGCTGGCCCGCGTCTGCCCGGGCAGGGTCCTGGCATTCCTTTTGCTCCATGGACGCTGCCTCCCTACAAGGAAGCGAGAGCTGCCGTCAGCAGGCACATGTGTGACTGTCGCAGTTACCTGCCGCACTGCCAGCACTTCCTGAGAGCCTGCTTGGTAGCAGGCCCTTGGCTGGGCTCTGGGGTGACAAAAGAGGCTTTTTTTGAGACAAGAGTCACACTCTGTCACCCAGGCTGGAGTACAGTGGTGCGATCTCGGTTCACTGCAACCTCCGCCTCCCGCATTCAAGTGAGTCTCCTGCCTCAGCCTCCCGAGTAGATGGGATTTCAGGCACGCACCACCAAGTCTGGCTAATTTTTGTATTTTTAGTAGAGACAGAGTTTCCCCATGTTGGCCAGGCTGCTCTCGAACTCCTGATCTCCAGCGATCTGCCCGCCTCGGCCTCTCAAAGTAATGGGATTATAGGCATGAGCCACCGCACCTGGTGGACAAGAGAGGTTCTGACAGAGCACGTCCCTCCAGAACCTGGTCAACTGAGGAGGTGCCAAGTCAGTACCGATGGCCTGAGAGCTCAGAGCTCTGCTGCGGGGGAGCCAGGAGAAGCGCTAGACCCAGACTAGTCCGGTCAGGGAAGGCCTTCTGGAGGAGGAGTTGTCTGAGTTGACTCCTAAGAGTAGGAGCTGGAAAGAGAACATTCCAGGCAGGAGGAACAGCACATCTTTACCTGGAGGAGAGAAGACATGGCATCCGGAGAAGGCTTCAGGGCTCGACATGGCGAGATCCAGAGCCAGAGAGGGGAAGTGGCAAGAGATGAGCCACAGCGGGGTGGCTGGGTCAACCAGCCTCTGCCCAGACTCCAACTTAAACACCAAATCAACCCATCACCTCCGACAGTCAACCAGCCTCCAGTGAGCATCTACTCCGTATGCGCCAGACACTGTGCAGAACTGTGCATGGGGGTGGCAGGGTGGGGAAAGACGTGTGATTACCACAATACACGGGTTTCAGGGAACCGGGAGCTTAGGAGAGTGGCCCAGCCACCACAGAGAGCCAAAGGATCAGCAGGAGTTACCCAGGAAGGAGGAGGGCGGGGGCAGACAAAGACACCTGGACTGATCTAGGAGGGATGGCTGTTTTTCCAACATTTCTACCACTGCGTATTTATTTACTACACTAAGTTCCAGGCACTGTGCTGGGAGGACAGACATGGAAGATGGTCTCCGCCATCATGGGAAGTAGGTCAACAACCCCGCAATTCCACATGGGGTGGGGGGGGAGGTGACTAGGCAGTAAAGCACCTACAGCTATATAGGCACAGAGGCCATCCAAGCCAACCTCTACCTCACTCTACCCTCCGTGTCAAGGATGAGGCACCCACTGAGGCTGTGTGGTCCAATCACCTGCCCGTGGCAGAGCCAGGTCCAGAACGTGGGCCCATGGACTCCGTCACTGATGATTCTAGTCCCTTCTCTTCCAGAAAGCATACCCTGACCACCCGCTACATACCCACCCCGAGCTAATTCCTTCTTCCTCTGGGCTGCTTCTGTAATATTTCCATTAATATGGTGGCCACAGTGTATCAGAACTTATGTGTCTTCCAGTCTGCCTCTCCTCCCAGAATGCAGTTCTCAGGAGGACAGGGATGTTTTCCCAGCCATCCCAGGCCCCAGACGGGCACTTTCTAAAGAATGGCTGAATGAATGAATGAATGAATGAGTCAAGGCATGGAGAGACCATGTGCTGGGCTCTAGAGCCCCACATCCATCCCACCTGAATCTCCAAGAGGTCTTGGCCCATCAGTGTGTGCCTCAGTTTCTCCATGTGAAAACCTGGAATCACCTCTACTTGAAGAGGAGGAAGTCAGGAACCAGGATGATTTCCTTCCAACTCCTACAGGCAAGGTCCAGGCCAAACCAGGCAGCAACCCAGGGTCTGGCCACTTCCCTGAGTTCTGACCCACGGGAGTGATCCCCAGGATCCCCTACAGTTCAGATAGGCCACTCAGGAACTGGTTTCCTGGTGGGTGTGCCTATGGGATGGAGAACCACCACATCTAGTCAAGTTCTGGGGGGAAGTCATGAACATTTCCTGCGCCCCCTGCTCTGTTTTTTTTTTTTTTGCTTTTATGAGAATGAGTTTTGTTCTTCTTGCCCAAGCTAGAGTACAATGGTGTGATCTCAGCTCACTGCAACCTCTGCCTCCTGGGTTCAAGCAATTCTCCCGCCTCAGCCTCCCGAGTAGTGGGGATTACGGGCGTGCAGCACCATGCCTGGCTAATTTTTTGCATTTTTAGTAGAGACGGGGTTTCACCATGTTGGCCAGGCTGGTCTCAAACTCCTGACCTCGTGATCTGCCCACTTCAGCCTCCCAAAGTGCTGGGATTACAGGTGTGAGCCACCACGCCCGGCCCTGCGCCCCCTGTTCTATACCCTATGGTCCCTAGAAGGCAGGGGGCATGAGACCCCATGCCAAAGCCCTGAGACCAGGAAAACAAGGAAGCAGAGACCAGTCACCCAGTCACTCATCCCTGTCATGTCCACAACAGCCTCCTCCAGCACAGGTCATCTGTCCTTGCCTCCCTTCATGAGCCAGAGGAAGACTTGACCTTCACCGAAGCTACATCAGTGAGACTGAGCAATCAGCACTGCCCAGCCTCTCTGAACAAACTCCCACTCCCCCATCCCCTCCACAGGAAGTATCAGCAACAGCTGATCTCCCCCCCCTTCTCACAGTCTGTCTGCCAGGTGGTCTGCTCCAAAGGGCAGAATACAGTTTGGCAGGGGTTAAGAGTACTACCAACAGAAGAGGTGGAAGAGACCCTTGGGAACTTCGGGCTCCCCCAGTTCCCTTCCTCTCACCAGGTGCTCTCCCTCCACACCTCATTCTCAAAAGGCTTCCTGAGGTAGGGCAGGGGAAAAGGAGTCTGTGGAAATGTGGCTCACGCAGGAACCATCCACCCTTCCAGCCAACTCTCCATCAGGAGGCGGCTACCAGACAACCCTCGACCCATCGCTCCTTCCCAAAAAAGGCAACAATCATAACAGCTGAGAACCCCGGTTCACTCCAGTCCAGATCAAGGGGAAGAAGCAGTCAGCGAAAGCAGCAGAATCATCACGAACTCCATGACCCCAGCTATGCCCCTTCAGCCTGGGAGCTCAGTTTGGTGGGTGTCCAGCTCACCTAGGGCTGGACCAGGCCCGGACCTCACTTGATCTGGCCCTCGGGGCCACCTGAATGCACAGGACTGCGACAGGGTCTGGGTTCTTAGATCCCGGACCGGTCTTCCCAGATATCCCATCCCAGACAGGCCCCAAGAGCCTAGCCGGGGATCCTGCCCCCAAGTCAGGGCACTGCCCCTATCGGGAACGAGAGGAAGGAGGGGTGCAAGGGAAGAGGAGGGGACCAGGAACTCAGGAGAAGACAACTACGGGAATCTCTGGAAAAGAAATGGCAAGGGGAGAGCCCAGAAGTGGAACCTCTAGGAAGGGGAGAGTGTGTGTGGAGGGGTGAGGATCTGGGGGGACCCAGGGGATGACAAGGGGACATGGGGGAGCCGAGGCGGAAACTCCTGGTTTCTGGAGCACAAGGAGGCACAGGGGTGCCTGGGAGGGGGCTCGCGCGCCGCGGAGCCGGCAAGAGGTGGTGCCCCAGAGACCCCGGGCACTGGAGAGCCCAGAGGTAGGCCGAATACTGCGGGAGGTCCCCAGGGGGCCGGCCCCGGGACAGAGCCCCAGATGCCCCCGGGCGCCCGGGACCGGGCAGCTGG